TTGTTGTTGTTGTTGTTGTTGTGGTGCACAGTGAAAAGTTTCTGCTGCGAGACAGTTTATTATGTTAAAGAAAATGCTTTGGAAAAAATGAAAGCTATTTACTGCTGAACAGCGTCACACTTTGTTTTCCAGAGTCTGGAGCAGCAGCAGCACAAGTTGTCGGAGCTGATGGAGATCTGTCAGCAGAAAGATGACATCATCAATAAACTCCAGGCAGCCATGGACGCCACTGTGGGGAACGCCACCAGAGACGTAAACACACACTTTTGTTTGATAAGTTAACATCAGAAGGAAACCTGAGAGATGTCTTGAGTCTTATTTGTTTTGTGTTTGTTTGTGAAAGTTTTTCATCTCTCTGGGGTCTTTTCCTGTCTCTTTGAGGTTGTTTCCTGTCTGTTTGAGGTTGTTTTCTGTCTCTTTGAGGTTGTTTCCTGTCTCTTTGAGGTCATTTTCTGTCTCTTTGAGGTCGTTTCCTGTCTCTTTGAGGTCATTTTGTCTGTTTGAGGTTGTTTCCTGTCTCTATGAGGTCATTTTCTGTCTCTTTGAGGTCATTTCCTGTCTCTTTGAGGTTGTTTTCTGTCTCTTTGGGATCATTTTCTGTCTCTTTGAGGTTGTTTCTTGGCTCTTTGAGGTCATTTTCTGTCTCTTTGGGGTCGTTTCCTGTCTCTTTGAGGTTGTTTTCTGTCTCTTTGGGGTCATTTTCTGGTTCTTTGAGGTCGTTTCCAGTCTCTTTGAGGTTGTTTCTTGTCTCTTTGAGGCCATTTTCTGTCTCTTTGGGTCTTTTCCTGTCTCTTTGAGGTTGTTTCCTGTCTCTTTCAGGTCATTTTCTATCTCTCTGGGGTCATTTCCTGTCTCTTGGGGGTCTTTTCCTGTCTCTTTCAGGTTGTTTCCTGTCTCTTTCAGGTTGTTTTCTTTCTTTGAGGTCTATTAATGTCCTCAGTGTCACACTGACAAACATCCCCTAATGGCAGATTTAAAGCTCTACAGAACAAATACCACCAGACCTTGTAAAATATGTAGGACCCCGTTCTCACAGTGTGACTGCTGTTAAAACCCACATCCTGGTCTTTCAGAGGGAGCTGGTGGAGTCGATCAGGTCGGAGCTGTTGGAGCTTCAGCAGACCTGCAGCTGTCTGAGGAGGACAGGAGGAGCGGAGGAGAGCAGGAAACGTCAGCGTGAAGCTCTGGAGGACGAGGAGGAGAGAGAACCAGCAAAGAAAAGAGGTGAGAGGAGGAGGAGCTGATGGAGGGATGGCGTTTACACTGTGTTACCTATTTTTAACTATTTTTTAATCTTTTTTTAGGCTCTCCAGTTTTGGAGGAGGAGATCTGGAGGTTGCAGGAGGAAAACGACAAGAAAGAGGAAACAATCTTGGAGCTGAGAGAGAGGGAGGGGAGGAGGAAGGGTCTGGAGGAGGAGCTGAGGAGACGGGAGGAGGAGGTGGAGGAGCTGAAGAAGGAGCAGGCTGTGCTGGAGCAGAAGATGCAGGAGCTGACAGGTAGGAGCTGAACCCTCACACAGAGTTTATGAACATGGACATGAACCAAACTTGACAGCATCCTCAAAACAGCCTTCAGTTTTACTTTGAGCAATTTGGGGACGCACTCATCAGCTGGTGCGCTCTTCCAGGTTACTATGAGGAGCCACACACACACATTCAGCTGGAAGTCACCAGTTAACACTTATTAGACTTTCTAGCAGTGAAATACAACTTTACTCCTCTTTAATGTAAAGTAAGAGAACTGAAACTATGATAACTGTCTGTCTCCTGTAGATCTGGACGAGTGTCCAAACTGTGACTCTGTGTTTTCGTCTCTGGAGTCGGAGCAGAAGGAAACATCCCGACTGATGAAGGAGAACAAAGCTCTGGTTAACGGCATCTTCCAGCTCCAGACAGAAGTACCATGTTTACCTACATGTTCCTCTTTCTGTCCCATTGTACAGAGTTTATAAAGATGGCATTAACAATAACTGATGTAGTTAATAATTGTCCGTTAAATGATGTTTCCAGGTGACTGATCTCCAGATGAAGCTCAAAGAGCAGACTGACATTTCTGACAGCCTATCAGAGCAGCTCAGCACTGCAAAGACCCGCCTCCAGGACCTGGAGAGCCAAGCAGAGGACAAGGGCCACACCATTCACAGTCTGACACAGGAAGTGGAGCATCTGAGACAGGAAGTCAAGGTTCTTACTTTTCCCTTAGTTTCTCTGTCTACTATGGCTGCAATGGTATGAAACTTTAACGGTAAGATAGCCGGTTTGACATTATCACAGTATTACTGAATCTTTGTTATCATCATCGGTCAGAATGACCCTTAAAGATGTGAAAACAGAAGGTTTTGTGTAGGTTCAACACACAGAAAACCTTCCAGAAAAATGCGTAGTTTTTTTGTGGTTGTTGCAGGCAAAAATCCTTGATAATGCGGCACGTTTTCTTAAAAAATGCGATGGAATATGCGGGATAATTATGCAATTTTATGCGATGAAATCACGGGAACTTACAAAAATTGCGGGAACTTGCAAAAACTGCGGTTTGATGAAAAAGAGAAAAAACGTGATTCCCCCAACACCCTGTTCTCACTAGGCTACTCCCTTAATGTAAAGAGTCATTTCTAATTACTTCCTATGATAAGCAAGCATACTATATCACAGAAAGTGCAGGGAATATTTAAGTTCTCATCTTGTTTTATTTCAGACCTTAATAAACACATGTCTCAAACTTACAAAACATTGCTGAAAACAAGTTCTGTAGCTTTACAAAAAGAATACGCTACAACTTCTGTAAAAATGAATAAATAAAATATAAAAAAATAAAATGTGTGCTTCCTGTTTTACAAAGGTAGCTATACAAAACATACATCTTCTGTTAAAATAAGTGCTTCCAATGCACAAAGTGCAATCTCTTACTGTAACGTAAAAGTACATACTACTAATATACTTACAACTGTAAGGCTTTTGAAACTAGTATGATTTAACCCACTGGTAACAAAAACGTGCAATCTTACAACTGTAAAGTTGCATCAACTCCTGAATGAAACTACAACAGTCCACTGTGAAAATGAAAACTATAAATGCGTAGCCTCTAACACTGGCCAGTCATTTGCCATCCTCATACTCCATCCCCTCTCCCTCAACATCCATCTCCTCCCCCTCCTCCATCTCTTCCTCCTCCACCACCATCTCCTCCCTCTCAAGTGCTCCACTTTGGACTCGTGCGGTTCGCAGCTTTTTGATGACGTTACTTCATAATGTTCCCAAGGCAACAGGGGGAAAGGGGCTGCTCTTGTGTGAAGTAAACGCAACATTTTTCAACTGTCTGCTAAGATATATGTGACTATTTTGCAACGAAAATGTGGGGATTATGAAATCATGCAAGCCCCGCATATTTCGCGCATTTTGCACGGAAATCAGCGATTTGTGCGGCGTCTTAGAAAAAATGCGGCCCCCACATAAATATGCGGATTTTGGCTGATTATGCGTAAAATTATGCGATCGTATAATCGCGTCTTTCTGGAGGGACTGACTATAATTGAAACTTGGAACCATTTTGTTAATGGAAGTCTCCTTTTTAAAAATAACTAATAAAGATTCTCCGTCCAGTAGCATTTGTTTCAATATGGTAGGTAAGCAAATGTACATCCTACGATAATTGTCATCTTTCATATCGCCGTGTACCATTAAACCGGTAAACCACTGCAACCCTACTGTCTGCAATAATCAGTTCTGTGATTGATATGTGATCAGGAGTCGTACAAGGTCCTTTGCTTGAATTTTGAAGGGAAAAAAAAGAACTACTGGAATAACAATAGAATAGCCACCTTTTTAACAAAGTGCTCAAAAAGTCCTTGAAATTAAAATAAACCAGAAAACGCTGTCATTTATTTTAATTAAAGTTTGGATTATACGGTCATAAAAATCAGAAATCGCTCAGTTTCTTTTTTAAATTCTGATGCATTAGCGGCGGCAGCACGCTCTTCCTCTTCTTTCTTCCCTTTATTTATGATATCCTACCAGACATTGTGGTGTATTTTTACTTCGCTTCCACTCTTAAAACTGTGGCAAAAGCAGTGGGCCTTTGTTGACATGGCAAAACTTAACTCATCTAAAGGAGCCGACTTTTCACAGTGATTGACTCTCTTTTCAGTGGTGTTCGGATGTTACAGCTCATCGTTTCCTTGGCTACAGATGGTTCTATTTAAACATGATTTTTCCTTTTCTTTATAACGTGTAGGCGACTCTTTTTGTAACAAGTTGATAATAGTTTGATATTAGACAGTAGGGATGCATGATAATAGTGGCACGTCATCGGTATCGGCAGATATTGGTTTTAAAATGAACTATTTGAATTGGCCAACTTGCTTTTTCTTATTTAGCACAATGAATATCACACACACTGAAAGGTTTCATGTCTCCATCTGCTGGTGGGCCGTCACAATGATAGTATACAAGTATAATATGATGTTAATTCCACTGTAGAAGAGACTTGATGATCACTAAAATTAGGTGGGAAAAAGTGGATATATTGATATCGATATCGGTTATCGCCCAAATGAGTTGTTGCATAAAGACATATCAGATATTGTCCAAAAAAGCCAATATCATGCATCAGTATTAGGCAGCGTGACGAAGTCTTGTGTCAGGCAGGCAGGAGGATGCTGGTGGAGTTCAGCTGTAGCGGGGTACACCCTAGACAATCCATCACAGGGCTGATCATTTATGTCTGTTTAATATATATATTATATTACATTTTGTTCTTTGCTAGTCACATGTCATTAGCTTTAGCATGTTTATGTTGCATAAATTAGCCTAGCAACTAGTGGACTGTTTTTTCCTCTGATCATAGCTCAACAAATCATATGTAACGTTAGTGGCTGCGTTTGCCAGATATAGTTAAGAAGATCTTATACCTAAGAGCTTCTTAAGAATTCTTAAGTCTACTGTGAAAGAAAAAACGCGTTTCCCAGATTCGCATTTAGCTTAAGATCTTTCACTAAGGAGTTGTAAGATCGAGCTGACCCACTCTTAACAGTCTTCCTAGCGACCAAACGCTGACAGATTTAGCCGCGTCAGGCACATTAATATTTCACTAAGCAAGGAGACGTTAAAACAGTGCGCACCGTATATATTTTATACTTCAGATTTATATTGTTTAGCATTAATTGGTGACAGAAAAGAACGAATTTCATTCTGCAGGGAAACACGTGTCCTTACTGTGCATATGACAATAAACACTTTGAATCTTGAATCTATATGTTTTATGAAGACCGTGTGTGAGCGCAAAGCTGTGGCACAAGTTATGCACCGAAATGTTTTTTTTGCTATTAAGAGTTTATTATTTTACAACAAGGCAACATACATACAAATCACACATACAGTACAGGCCAAAAGTTTGGACACACCTTCTCGTTCAATGCGTTTTCTTTATTTTCATGACTATTTACATTGTAGATTCTCACTGAAGGCATCAAAACTATGAATGAACACATGTGGAGTTATGTACTTAACAAAAAAAAAGGTGAAATAACTGAAAACATGTTTTATATTCTAGTTTCTTCAAAATAGCCACCCTTTGCTCTGATTACTGCTTTGCACACTCTTGGCATTCTCTCCATGAGCTTTAAGAGGTAGTCACCTGAAATGGTTTTCCTATGAACTATGAACTATGAACTCCACATGTGTTCATTCATAGTTTTGATGCCTTCAGTGAGAATCTACAATGTAAATAGTCATGAAAATAAAGAAAATGCATTGAATGAGAAGGTGTGTCCAAACTTTTGGCCTGTACTGTACATACATACAGGACAAAACATACAACGAGAGGAGGGAGAAAAAAAAA